AGGCTTTACAATTTTTGTTTATTCAGAATTCCTTGCCCTTTTCATAAGGAGAATATATTATGCCTATAAAGCAAACATTCTTTTCCATACTTCTACTTATTTAATTTTTTAATGAGTATTCATAATTAAATAATGTTTCATATTTTTATATGACATGTTAATAAAATAAGCTTTTCACAGCTTTAAATATTACACTTGTATCATTAAATGGCAAATTTTAACGGTTACATAAAAATACCGCCTTGCTTACGTTTAACAAATTAAGCTTTAAAAAGAAATATTGAGTTTGTCCTTACAGGAGGCACACGTTAAAATCTTTAGAAATTAAAAAAAAAAAATACATGTTAAAACTTAAAATCATTTTGAACAAACATAATGTTATATGTGTATGTATATATATCATCCATGAATTAGATTCAATCTGTCCTTAAAAAGCAAGTAGAGAATTCCCCAATATGTTGTTGTTCACCACCTTTGCTTGGCAAAAGAGAGAATTACAGCATCTTATACTTCCCCATCAATTTTTTTGTTCAAGTCTCATGGTCTTATTATTGCAAAATTTTATTAACTTTAGTATTTCAGAAAGCCATGTAAAAAAACTTTTAAAAAAAATTAGTTTAATCCACAATTAAAAATATAATGAATTAGTGATGATTTTAATTAACTTAATTGCTGAAGGGGAGCTAATTAAAGATTCTAATTACCATGTACTTTTATGTCTCTACCCAATGAAAAGTTGCAACATGTATGAAAATCTGGACCCACCATATTATCCACGTCAGTAAAACCTACATTATAACTAATCTGGGTATTATCAGAACAATTTTATAAAAACTTATAAAATACTTTTATTTAAAAAAATAACGAGAAAACACTTCACGGTTTAAAACTATTAACTTTAAGGGGACGTTTGGATCATATAATGTTTTTTTATCTTAGTAATAAGATTACCTTGTAGATTATCGGGTTTAAATTATTATTATGCTTAGTTCAATTGGGATGTATTAATAATTAATGTGTTTGGTTGATAGTAATAACAGATGTCTTAAAATACCTTTTACTAAAATGCCCTTTAGATGATTATTAGATATAAATAATTAAGGGCTTGTTTGTTTTATTATTTGAAACCTTATTCTTTATCCTATTCCCAAAATACTTATTTGTTTAATTATTACCTTTTTGTTTAATTATTTTGGGAAATACTATTCTATTTTTTTAATTACTTTTAGACCCCTTAAGTTTATTAACTTAATTAAACACCCCTAGAAAAGAAAAGTTTAAAAATTAACAAAAACAATCCCACCCACCTATAGTTGTCAGATTCCGGCAACCACCGTTAATGGTGGCCGGAATCTGTCACAACGGCCTAAAAACGACCAAAAATGGTCGTTTATTCACCGATCTGGCCTTTTCCGACTAGATTTGTGGTGGATCTAGCCGGAAAAGGCCAGATCTGGCAGTTAGCGATGGCCAAAGAAATGGTCGTCGTTGACGGTTAACGATGGCCAACTCTTGGCGGTCATTGACGGTCAACGACGACCAACTCTTTGGCCGTGTCTGACGACCAGATCTAGCCTTTTTTTGCTATCGATGGCCAGATCTGACCTTAGATCTGGCCTTTTCTGGCCAGATCCATGGTGGATCTGGCCGAAAAAGGCCAGATCGGTGAATAAACGGCCAGATTTGATCACTCTTAGTCGTAACGGAAGATTCCGACCAGATTCCGACAGTGGTGGCCGGAATCTGGCACTGTGGTGGTGGAGGTGCTTTTGTCATTTTACAAATTGGGTGTTTTGTAATTATTAACCAAGCCAAGGATATTTTCGTCTGCATAATATACTGTTTAGGGGCAAGATTAGACAGAAATTATGATTACCCGGTAACGTTTTAATAACAGCCCCCCTTAAGGTACAAATATTCCCTACAATTTACCCCCCGTTGAGCACTGTTTGTTATCTTTTTTTCCTGTAAAATTTTTTTACAAAAATGCTAAACATGCTAATCTGCTAAATTAAACAAATATTATTCTTGTTAAAAAATTTAAACCCGATCCAAACTGGCCCTAATTGAAAAATTTTTAAATGACTAAAATGTTCATGTGTTAGTGATTTTATTGTTTTGAAAGAATAATAGAAATAAAACGATATACGCATGGATATCAAATATTTTAGTGATGTGTATATTGTTTTATTTCTTTTTTTTTTTTTTAAACAATAAATCACCTACACATGTATATTTTAATCATTCAAAAAAAATTGTTAATGTTAACGGTTTTAAACAGTTTTCTCTTATTGTCTTTTCTAGTAAAAGTGTTCTATAATTGCAAGTTTATGATAAAACTGTCCTTGACTGATAATAACCCTGAGGGTGCGTTTGCTTAAGGGAATGTTGTATTACTAGAATGTTATATTAATGGAAAGATAGATTGTCTTGAAGATTACTAGGAATATTTAGGAAAATATGTTTGGTTAAGTTGGAATAGATTACCTTGAAGATTACTAGGAATGTTTAGGGGAATATGTTTGGTTAGGTTGGAATAAATTAGTAGGTATGTTATATTGATATGTTTGGTTGGGAGAAATAAATTGGCAAGTATATTATATAGATTATTAAATTGTCCTCCTTTTTAAATATTAATACAATATTTTTTTATTATTATTTTTTAAATCACTTTTTTAACCCCCTATATTTGAGATTTTGATAAAACACCCCAACCACATAAAAGTTTAATTTCTAACAAAATCACCCCAACCTACCCCAAGCCACTGCCGACCACCGACAGTTATCGAAACGGCGAACGACTGGCCAAATCTGGCAGCTGTGCGCTAATCTAGCCATTTTTTGCCAGATCAATGGCTGTTAACGACTAGATTTGTGGCCATTAACAACCATGGATCTGGCCGGAAACGGTTAGATCTATTCTGGAGTCATGCGCCATGGATCTGAGCATTAATGGCCATGGATCTAGCTATTTCTGGCCAACGATTTGGCCAGATTGACGCACTGTCGGCCAATCCGACCAGTCATGCTCTGTCCTGTGACGTCAGTCGGTAGTGGTAGCTAGCGGCTAGCGGTAGTGGCTGACAGGTGGCAGTGGTCTGCAATTTGTTTAAATAAAGAGATTACTGTCCAAAAACTTAATTAATTAGGGGTAAAATTGTAATGGCAGGTTCATGTAAATGAATTTTAAAATAAGGGCATTATTGTCCAAAAATATTAATAATTAAGGGTAAAATTGTAACAAAATTATGATTATCAAGCAATCTTAAAATACCTAAGAAAATTGAGGTATTCAGAATTTCAAATTACCACATATATAACCAACTGTAATTACTATTGATTTTGGAAGATTACTAGAATATTATATTACTTTATAACTAAACGTAGTAATCTAAGTACATAAGATGACATTAACTCAATGATGAGGATAACCCCTAACCAAACGCCTCCTAACTACTTTGAACAAATATCTTTATTTTTGAGAAATTATCATTTTAGATTTGACACAAAAGATTTATTTATTTATTTTAATACAGAGCATGACTATGTAATTAATAAAATCTTTGAGTTTATAAGATTTTAAAACTTAAAATAAATAAAAAATAAAAAATTCATGCTATAGTACCTATCTAATAATATCAATTAATTAATAACTAAAACATCTGTCTGAATAATGTTATCTATGTATTGCAAATTTTTATTATAATATGACATATTTATGCATGTGATATAAGGACTTCACAAAACCTATAAGGTGGAAACTTTGTCATATCTCATGTAGAGGCGAACAAAAAAATTATTTTTAGAAAGGTTGACAAAAAATTACTGATCTTGTAAATATGAGATAGCATTAAAAATAAGTGTTTAAATATAGAGGAAGAGTGGTGTAGAAATAAGAGAAAATGGAGCTATATGATGAATTTTATAAAAATAAGTTGGGAGAATTAAAAGAATAATAATTATTTATTATGAATGCTTTTTTAATATACAATTAAAATAATAATATTATATTATATAATTTTAAAAACTTAAATTCTAAGTAAAGTGGTAGAGAAATTATTTGCAGGGAAAGTATAGAATCCTGGGAATGGAACTTGTTGGCGCCATAAAAAGGCTTGGTTTGCAAGTACAGAAATTGACTACTAATAATCTTTCTTTCTTTTTCCCTTCTCTATAAATATGATCAAATCCTTCATTTCTTCTTCTGCATTTTTGCTTGTTTCTGCTTACGTACGTACTGCCATCCGCTTATTCATATCTCTGCAATTATCTCTCTGTACTCTTTGTGAGTTTCTTTCTGTTATTTAATTACAACCATTCGCTTATTTTCTTTTTGCAGTCTCTTGTTTAAGATTGCATGCATTTAAAGTTGAATTTTATTGAGGATTTTCAACTGTGTGCTCTTTTGTTTGCTCATTGATTTTGATTTTGATTTTCTCCTTACACTAAACTTTACATATTCTAAATTTTAATCAGTTTTCCATGTTTAGACTAGCCAAGTTTTGATATTGTTTATAATTTCTTTGAGTGCCAAAAATTTTGTTCATCTCTGTGGAGCTTTAGACAAATTGGCTAGTATTTTAGCGAAGAGTTATGACAATTTTCTGTGATGTTAGGGCAATTAATGAAAAGTTTCTTTTACGTGATTTTCTGGAGATTTCATTAGCCAAGCTTATTTCTCCTTGATTATATATATTCTTATAATCATGAAAAGAAGGAATGTTTTCAGCAACATATTGTACAGTTTGTGACATTTATTCTTTCAGATTATCGTGTCTAGATTAATCAACTTCCTTTAAAACTGAAATGTGTAGGCATTTTTGAGTTCTGATTGTTGAAAATGCGATGCTTATAATTTAAGAAATATTTGTTTAGGTTTATTAATTGAGCACTGATGTTTTCAAATTTCTTTGCTTTTCATGCATCAAATGGGATTTTTTTAAGTGTTACTGATCATTTGGTGTTGATTAGGAAACTGCAGTTGAAATTTTTTAGACTAAATGGGTAAGTCAGTCATATTGCATGGATTTGCTACGGCTGAGCAACCAAAGGCTATAAAACAATTTCTGGAGCAAATTTTGGGTAAAGGGGCTGTCATTGATGTGGGAGTTCAGCAAAATGAAGGTTCAAGGGCCTATGCAATTGTACACTTCACATCCAGTGAAGCTGCAGACACGATCAAGTCCTTGGCTGATGAACACCTTTGGTATAAAAATTCTTACTTGAAAGCTCGAGATATGAATGAGGGACATAGGATTTATGATGTAAAGTTGCATTTTGGTTTTCAATTGTCAAAAAGAAGGTTTTCATCACTATGGACTCAGGAGAATGTTTCTGTCAAGTTCGGATTTGGACTAAGAAAAATTATCTTTTTTCTATCTCATCACTCTGTGGAATATAAGCTTCAGCTCCCATACGAGAGCATTAGGCTAGTTGAGCTACGCCGTCTACAAGACAAGAGGTTTATCATCATTCAGGTGTGATGTTTAAACTAATCAATATTGTATTTTTCTTTTATTTCTGCAATATAGAATTGCTTCTTATTGTACTTTGTTGCTACATAGTAACAATATGTTTTTTTTATTTAAGATTTTATATCGCTAGTGGATGATTTGGTACTTAAGACTATAGTTAAAACTTGTTCCAATTCTTAAGATTACTATGAATAATACGTTTTAATCTGTATGACAACTAAGGACAATTCTTAACATGTTCTTCTTTTTCATCTTTTTGTGTTACTATTGTTAGTTATTTGGTGTTCCTCGGATATATTCGAAAGATGTGCCTGAGCAAACCTTTTTTAGAGATGACAATGATGTTCAGTGGGTTCAAGAAGTTGATTTTACTCCATCCTCTTGCATTGGTCAATCTACTGCTTTATGTTTGGAACTTCCCACCACTGGTTATCTTTTAGATTTTCAGAAAGATTTCGCTTACTATAAAGAAACCGACGGGAAACTTGTTGTGAATAGAGGTTCAACTTCCTCTTGCCATTCTGATCATGTCCCTATTGTAAGTCCACCCCAAGGATTTAACTTGCCATTTCGTATCTTGTTTAAGATTAATATCTTGGTTCAGCATGGTTGTATACCTAGGCCAGCAGTAGATGCTAAATTCTTTCATATGGTTGAACCACATAGAAGAAATATAGCATTTGTAGAACATGCTCTTGAGACACTGTTTTACTCAAAACAATGTTGCTTTGCACCTCAACAGTGGCTTAGAAAAGAATACCAAAAGTATAGCATGGCTGCAAGACCTCCTATGTTGCCTACCATCAATTTAAGTCACGGATTGGTATATATGTGCAGGGTTCTAGTCACCCCATCTAAAGTATATTTCTTTGGTCCAGAGGTTGTTCTATCCAATAATGTGTTACGCACATATCTTGATGATGGTGAGAACTTTATTCATGTTTCTTTTGTTAATGAGGATCTTGAAAAAATACGTGCAACAGATTTATTTGCTCGAGCATCTTTAGCGAATACTGAAAGGCGTACTAGAGTTTATCAAAGGATATTGTCAACTTTGAGAAATGGCATTTTCATTGGAGATAAAAAGTTTGAATTTCTAGCCTTTTCTAACAGTCAATTGAAAGATAATTCTTTGTGGATGTTTGCATCTAGACCAGGGCTAACTCCAAGTGAAATCAGAGAGAGGTTGGGTGATTTTAGTGCGATAAGGAATGTGGCGAAATATTCTGCTGGACTTGGTCAACCATTCAGCTCCTCCAGGGAAGCTATGTATGTTGATAGCAATGAAATTGAAGTAATTCCTGATATAGAAGTTGAAAAGGGGGGAGTCAAATATGTTTTCTCTGACGGCATTGGGAAAATATCAGCTAAATTAGCTCATATGGTGACTAGAAAATGTGGCTTCAGATATGTTCCATCCGCCTTTCAGATTCAATATGGCGGGTACAAAGGTGTCGTAGCGGTTGATCCAACTTCATCAACAAAGTTATCAATGAGACCAAGTATGTCCAAATACAAATCAGAGAATGTTAGTCTTGATATTTTGGAATGGAGCCAGTATCAGCCTTGTTATCTTAATCGTCAATTGGTGATACTTTTGTCGACTCTAGGTATTAAGGATAATGTGTTTAAGAAGAAGCAGAAATATATGATTTCTCAATTGGATAAAATTTTAATAGATCCATTAAAGGCTCAGGAAACACTTAACTTGATGTCTTCAGGAGAGATCAAACATGTACTGAAAGATATGCTTCATTATTATTCTAAGCCACGTGAAGAACCATTTCTTTCAATGATGTTACAAATATTTCGCTCGTCAGCATTGAAAGACTTGAAAACGAAAACAAGAATCTTTGTCCCAAAAGGACAAACAATGATGGGTTGTCTCGATGAGACAGGAATCTTGAGATATGGTCAGGTGTTCGTGCAATGTTCAAGTCACCAGACTAAGTTATCGACCAATTCCTCAGCTTTGCTTAGTGGCAGAGTATCAAGTCAAAGCAGAATTTTAGAGCAAATGGTAATCGTTGTGAAAAATCCATGTCTACATCCTGGAGATGTTCGTAAACTAAAAGCTGTCAATGTTCCAGCCTTGCACCACATGGTGAATTGCATAGTATTTCCAGCTAAAGGAAGGAGGTAAGCCTGTCATATACACCACATAGCACACACACTCATGCGCAAAACAAACACTGTCTTATTACATATTTTATATTTCTTGCTTACATGAAATTTTGATATCGAACACAGCAAATTTCTAAATTGATCACCACTCTCTTGAAGATCACATTACATTCTTCTTGTGCACTGATATTTTGTTTACTTAAGCATAACTTTGTCTGTAAAGCATATTTACAGTGACATTATTTACATTGTTAACTAGACCCCATCCTAATGAATGTTCGGGGAGTAATTTGGATGGAGATATCTACTTTGTTTGTTGGGATGGTGATCTAATTCCTCGTCGCATGTATCCACCTATGGATTATAATTCGGCACCACCTAAGATTCTTGATAATGAAGTTACAATTGAGGTATTACTCAATCTAGCATGCTAAGATTTGTTCGAACACATACATGAATTATGGCTTACTGCATGAGTTCATTTTCTGTTGAGTTCTAATTAGCACACAATTTTCTGTTTTTACCATGCCTTAACATAGATACTATTATGGTACAGGATGTGGAGGAGTATTTCGCAGATTACATGGTCAATGAAAACTTGGGAATGATTTGTAATGCCCATGCTGCATTTGCAGATAAAAGTCCTTTCAAGGCAATGTGTTGGCAATGTATTCAGCTTGCAAAGCTAGCCTCCATTTCTGTCAACTTCTCAAAAACCGGAGTACCTACTAAAATCCCTCAACATTTACAAGTTAGAAGTTTTCCAGATTACTTGGAAAAGCTTGAAAGCGAATCCTATGAATCGCAAAGTGTGATTGGGAAACTTTATCGCAAGGTAAAAGATCTTATGCCAAAGTTGGGTACTCTCAAATCCTTCACTACTGATTAGGCGAGGCAATTTTATGATCTTGACATGGAAGTGGAGGGCTTCAAGGACTACATTGATGATGCTTTTTATTACAAAAGTGAGTATGATTATAGATTGGGAAATCTGATGGACTATTTCGGGATATCAACCGAGGGTGAAATACTCAGCGGTCGAATAATGAAAATGGCGAAACCTTTTAGTAAGAAAAGGGATTTGGAAGGAATCAAATTGGCTGTGAAGTCATTGATAAGGGAAGCCAGGGAATGGTTCAACAAGAAGGCAAATAAATTTGATGGTCCTGAGAAAGTATACATGAAAGCATCAGCTTGGTATTATGTTACATATCATCCGAGTTTTTGGGGTCGATACAACAAGGGACTAAATCGCAAGCATTTCCTTAGTTTTCCATGGTGTGTTCATGATAAACTTCTTAAGATCAAGGGAGACAGACAGAGTATTATGAAGATCTCGTTTGTCTCTTGATATCATTTGAAGAGAGATGCCTTGACAAGAGTACTTCATTATGTGCATATATATGTTTATTTGTAGAATTATTCAGTTTGAGTGTCAACTTTATATATTTGTATGGTGTTGATTGTTGTGTGTTTGTCAATATTGTAAGTGTCTCAAACCTTGTTGTATCTTACTATTTGTTTTTCAATAAATCAAGTTGCCTTAAAATTCTACTGCAAATTTAAATACATGGCCTTCTTCAAAGAAGAAAACTTTTTTGAATCTGTTGCACTTGTTACCACCTAATCATGTGTATTCTGTTTTTGCTACTGTTATTGACTTCTTGTATATGTAACAGATACACAAAAAACGTTTTCTCTTGTTTCAAGGATATAGAATGAATATCTATTGGATTTTGTATGATCTGCAAATGTATGTATGTCACATTCTGGCCTATCTCATTTTTTTTGCGCAAGAATGTGCTTGTATTGGTAAATTTTTGTATTTGAACACTTATTAGCAAATATCAACTTTTAATTGGCAAAAATTACTTTATTTCTAATGGATAATATTATTCATTAAAAAATTTAGTTCTACTTTATGGAAGTGAAGTTAATGAAAACATGCAAATTTATGTAATTATTGCAAAACAAAAATATGCGCATACTTGACAAACTTCTTGCTAATTTATGATTTATCATTTGGGAAAATGTATGAGCCAAAAATTGTACTGTGCCTGACGAGGTCCAATAACAAAATAAACATATTATGGCCCAGTGCCTTAGTCCAATTCTGGTTGGGCCTACACTTAAATCCACCTTATTGATTGACCACTCCATGAGTTGGGCCTTCCTACAAATTAAGCCAAATCGGACTCCAACCCATTAGCCAACTCTTGTCCCAAAATAGGAATTAGAATCCTATCACCTTCCTAATTCATGTAAGATCCATTATCTTACATGAATTAGTACTCTTAAACCGAAAAAGGCAAGTCTCAAGACGTCCTTCCTAATTCGAACTCCTCTACCAAGTAGGACTTATAGTTCTACTGGGACTCAAGCTCCCTTGAACTCCTATATAAACAGAGGTCAAGCCTCTTATTATGCATTCAAAAATCAACCATAACTTTAGCTCCTAAATTCTTGCTCTCAAGAATCTTTGCTTTACGGTGAACTAAATTTACCACCTTCACCCTTAGCCATATTACAGTAAATGCTTTCATGCTCTCAGTACTCACTAAAATACTGATATGTTTACAAGTCTTAAAACACTTGTAAACATGAGTGGACAAGGAATTGCAAGTCCTAACACACTTGCTAATTTGGTTGAATTGAATAAATTCACTCCAAGTCCTAAAACACTTGGTTTGTGGAATGTGGAAAGCAATGGAGCTATTCTGCCCAAGTAAGTTCCAAGGAAGGAGAGAGTCCAAATCTGCCTAAACCACTCCAAGTCCAAGCACAACAAGGGAAGCTCAAGTCCACCAAGAAAGAAGTCCAAGTATTGATAAAGCTCAGTTCTGCCCAATGTACATTCCAAAGGGGAAGATCCACATGATCCCTTATTAGATCCATTTACATGATTCTCAAGGTCCAAATTCTTACACCCTTATTAGTAGACTTAATTAGGGCATTGATTAGCTTTTGATCTAATGGAAACAAGCTTAGACAACTAATGGGGTGGTTAAAGACATAGATCCTAGAATTAGGGAATTGTGTCTCTTTTGCATTAAATAGGCATGGCCTTACTTTTTGAATGAATGGCTTGTAATATTTAATTAATTTTATTTCATTTTCTTGTATTTGTAATTTATTTAGTTATCCTTGTATTTGCCTATATAAAGGCAACTATTCCATTTTATCAGTTAGTTTTTGGAAATATATGAAATTGGATTATTCATTTGAGAGAAATTTTGTGTTCTTGATTGTGCATTCTTTATCCAAGTCTTGGCAAGGGGATTTGGTGGTGAATCAATTCAAGTTGATGAAGCAGTTCCTTTATGCTTAAAGTGTTTCTACTTGTCTTAGTCCGGATTTGCAAGTAAGTGTGAGTTTGTTCTTGTTTTGTGTTTGGCCAAATCAACTTGGATTTATGGCATGTTTTTTTGTTGAATTGGTTGGATTTGGATCAAATACCTTCAACCGTGCTGACTTAAGCATCGAAGTGCCTACGGCAGACACCACACTGGTGTCACCCAAGCCTTCATGTTCGTGTTTTCTCTTTGTGCATGTACATTCGATTGTCAATGGCTTGCTTCTCACAAAATACATCCCTTCCAAATCAACCATATATTTTACCGTCTATAGAAAATTATTTTTGAAAAACTATTTCAAGAAAGAGTTTTGTCACATATTTTTAAAATATCTTCTAATAATTAGAACAACAAAAATACATTTACTAACTAGTATGACATAATTATAGAAGAAACATTATATTCAATAAGCATTTAGCAATAAATATTTTAAAGAGTTTTCTTAATGTGGGTTAAAATAATAAAGTAATAAACTCTTGGATATTATTTATTACTTATTTAAACATACTTAATATTTGCAATGTATTTGTTCATAAAACCCTAGTTTAAAAAGCATTCTATAATATGTTGGTTTGATAAGTTTAAAAAGCATTCTATAATATGTTGGGTTGATAATTAATTACAAAATTGTCATGGCCATAAAATATTGCGACTAAAAAGTTTGGAGCTGAATGTAATTTTCCTTAACAATATGTTAACACCAAATACTTAAATTAATTAAAAATTTAAAAAAAAAAAATTTGACATTAAATAGTAGAAAAAGAAGAAGAAAGATAAGGTCAAAATAATATGATTCTGGGGTCCTATTCCCACAACTAACTTAATGAAGAAGGGGATAATACTCCAAAACGGGGAGCAAAAGACCCCACCATATAAAACTTCATTGTCTTATTATAAACGAACGACATTTTCACTTTTTATTTTATTTTAATTAATTTTTTTATATGTGGATGATTATGGTTAATTGTCATAAAGTTGTTATTACTTATTAGTATCCATAGAAAATTTGATTGTAATCAATTTGATAGTCAATCTGATAATATTTCATTTATTTCTTTATCCTATATTTAAATAAGAAGACATTGTTATATTGAATGTCACATCATTAGAGATCCAAATTTATGATCCCAGTTTTACATACAATTATGCATATTATATGAAAAATGTGTTGCTATACTTTTTATGGAAGGCCTAAAATTTGATAGATTAAAGGGCTGGTGGGTTCAAAGTTTGAATCTTTATTGCTGAATAAATGAGTTGCTTCATGGGCCTTTTTTTTTTTTTTTTTTTTTTTTGTGTGTGTACCGCCCACATCGAGGTACGTAACTTTACTTATGCCTTTATACCCTTAGTTGAATTTTGTTAAAATTATCTTGAAAAAAAAATATGAAGAAAATACCTTAAAATTTCATTAGAGGTGAAATGGTCTTTTCACTCAAAATTAGTTGAAATTGTGGAGAGTGAACAAAGATAAAATTTCATGGAGAATGCAATAAAAATGAGGGCATTATGGTAACTGACTAAGGGACATATATGGAATTTCATAGAAAGTGCATGGGCAAAATGGGAAACTACAAATAATATTATGTTATATCAAGAGTTGAAAAATGAAACATTCTTCCTCCACTTTCACGCCACCTTCATCTCCAAATTCTCTCAATTTCTTCAATTCTTCTTCAAGGGAAATTTATAGATTTTGGGTTCTTTTTAGTGGAATTTCAATCCCAAGCATCCTTAGGTAAGATCCTTGCACTAAGAAGTGAGTTTTAATTTTTAAAATGTTGAATTTTGATGATGAGTGTTCATAGGATTTAAGAGAAGGAGAGTTGGATCAAAGAAGATTAATAAAGTGCTAGATTACTCACATCTAAGGTAAGTAAATCCTACTCTAGTTATGATTGAAGCAATATTGTGTAGATAATTTCTTTTATGCATATATGTGTTTTTATATGAAGAATTGTTGATGGATTTGATGTTGAATGATGGTTAGAACTTATCCATGAGAAGTAGTGTTTGTGTATTTGATGTTTGATGAGAGTTTGGATGAATTATGGAAGAATTGGAATAGAAATTATGGAGTGTACATATTGGACAGGTTTGGTGTTAATCTTAGAAGATTTTATTCCAAATTTTGGTGGCTTAGAAAAGGAGTAGAAGTGTAACCAAATTAGAGCTTGTGTGTGCACATAAGTTGTTTGATGGAATGTCAAATAGAAGTGCATGTATGAGTATGATTATGTGTTATCTTGAGATGAGTTTGTAGATGGTAGAGAATGACATGTTTGCATTCCATATTGCATTATTGCATCTAAACATGTGAATTTAGAAATAATTATAAGCATGAACCCATCTACATGCATACATACTCATAAGAACATGAAAAAGCATTAAAGAACATTAAAGAGTAAATAGAAAGAAATGAGAATATTAAGGAAATTCAAATCTGAATTTTTTATTTAAAGAAGTGTAAAAAGATAAAAGAAGAGAAGATTGTTGCAATGGGGAACCCGTGAGTGACATAGCCCCGCATGCACGCTGCTTTTAGTAAGTGGCCTCAGAATTCAAAAAGAAGAATTGTACAGTCTGTTAGAAATGCATGTGATGAATACTGTACCCGGAATTAGAGAATACACTCACACGGCCAGGGTTCCAAATCCATGTCTCAACCGAGTCCGATCAACAAGAAAGAATAGCAAGAAAGAAAGGAAGAATAGAAAAGAAAGGAAGAATAGAAAGAAAGAATAGAAAAGAAAGAAAGAATAGAAAGAAAGAAATACAAAAAAAGAAACATAATAAGAATAATAAAAATAGAAAAGAAAATGCACATTCTATGCATTTGTGCATTTGCATCATATATATGCATAATACCATGCCCATTATCTTGAGTAGTGGGAAATTAGAATAGAGAAAGAACAGAGAAAGAATAGAGAAAGAACCAAGAAAAATAGAGAAAGAATTGAGAAAGAACAGAGAAAGAATAGAGAAATAACAGAGAAGAATAGAGAAGTGTGATGTAAGGAAAGAAATTCAGAATTTAAGCAACGGAGAGAGAAGGGTAGCATAGCGGATTTACTTGCTA